ATGCACACATCGAAGCACGTGAGGAACCATAGTAATCACAGCCATAGCTGTAAAAATGTCCACGTAACACAACCGCCAACATACCACGCACCCAATCCAAAAATCGGTCTTGTCCCTCGCGAAATTCCGCAATGCTCTACGGAAAAAATGGTCCAGGTATCTCCTTCTGGGAAGCTCGATTTTCAGCAGAAGTAAGGTCTCCATCAACTCCAACCCGGCCATCGAGTTCTGATGAATTCGATGTAATGCACTTGTGATAACAGCCAGCTTAGCTTTCTTGCTGGTCCAGGATTCATAATCCTGAAATGTCCGAAACACCAGAGCTTGGCCCTCACTCAGGCCCTTGTCGTTTTTCATTGCTTGGCAACAGCCCAGGAATGGAAATTGCTTATGCACACTCAGACGACAGCCCAGAAAATCCCAAGCCTCTTGGTCCTCGTCAGTCCGCTTGAGTGTCAATGCCTCGTCATAACACCTTTCAAAACGATCAAGAATCCTCTCAGCACGTTACCTTGTTTCGGAACGCTGTGGATCGAAAGCAACAAATACTGACACATCATCAACATACCTCAAACCTTCGAGAAACCTTCTCTCGTTCCCCAATGAAATCAGCAGATCCCATTCTGCTTTGGCACACATCAGACAGGCAAGCGGTGGGCTCGTAGACTTTCCCATGGGGATCCCCACAGTCTGCTGCAAGATGGTGCCACCCGCAATGGTAAAACAAAATTCAAGTTCAAAATGGACAAATTCCCGAATGACGCCGAAGCTAATAAATTGGCAACCCTCAATACATTCCAATCTACTCAGCATACAACCCTTTCCCTGTCGCTTCACAAACATTTCCCGGTATCCCCTGGATTCAAGCCACTAAATGCACCAGTCAACAGCACGGTTGATCGTCGCATGCGGCAGCTTGCTGAACATATCTTTGATATCGTATGATCGAGCAAGCAGCTGCGTGCGACATCCAACACTCCTCATTCTACAGTTAATCCCCCTCAGCCGATCTCGCAGCCCACAGATGGACTTCAAGTTAAAATGCCTGCTGTCCGGCAATGAGAACAGCATCATATTCAAGGCTCTCGAGATCTTCTTGCATGCGTTATTACCCGGCTCACTGTACGTAGGACATATTGGTCTATATTTAGACGTGTCCTTGTGCTTTGGCAACGCATAGGCTTTACCCATCCTCCCATCCTTCTTCCACTTTCCCACCTGTTCAAACTTCAAAGCCCTTCCCTACGTATACACATAGTTCATCCTCCAAGATGTCCTCTTCCCTCTCTTTTTGAACTGTGTACCCTTCATTGTCGATGAATGTAGTCTTCATCGCCTCTCGGTATGTTGCTGGGCACATCACGAGAGTATCGCCGGGGTTTCTGTCAAGAGGGGCACAAACCAAGCCCTGCAATTCTTTCTTCAAACTGTTGATCTCCGTCAGATCGATGCCCTTTTCCTTCCCCTTCGTCACAATACATTTCTCCATTTCTTTGTTTGTGAATTCCACCTTTTCCACACCCTCACCCATTCAACTGAGGTCGGAGAACCCTTCCGTGACCTCCTTCGACAGTCGTTCACACAAACCAGTCCCATAGTCACTCGGTATGTTCTTAGCATTACGTGCTATATTCGGACATCCCTCCCAGTCGCCAATCCGGAAATGGATGTGTCCCTCCACCTTGGGAAAGGACATGCTGGTGCAATTGCACACAAAGACTCCATTCGCCGCGAAGCGGCGGTGATTATGGATCAAATCCCCGACGTTAGGACCTCTCGTCCATACAACGCGGGATCGTCTTCGAACCATCTCCAGAACTGGTCGATCGAGATGCAATCTCCCTATACCACTTCTTACTACCCTTACAACCTCACTTTTTTTAATCCTCTCGTCATATTTGACCTTCACTACGACCCTCCTGCGTACATTCATCTGAAATTTCGTCTTGAAGACATCAGAGACCATTCTCCCCACCTTCGTACGGTTACGCTTCTCTGAGAACAACTTTGCAACCCCAAAGTATCTAACCAACTCGCTCTTCGACTTACTCGGCAGAATCTTCTTCTTTCTTTTATCCCTAAACATACCAATCAGCTCCTGCTTCAAACGTATCGTTTCAGGCGATGCTTCGATAACGTTCCGTACGGTCACCCAACCTTCCGTCTCGAACAGTGACTTACACTTTCGAAGGGGTCTAGTCCGTTTACCAACGATCACACGCGATTCACCGAATAAACGTCTCACGACCCGCCATCTGTCAACCCACGTTGTACCACCGTTACAGCTAATCCACACGACCTATTTCGGTTTCTCTCGACTTAGTTTTCTCAGTAGATCCACAGCCCTGACCGTCGGCTCATCCCCTTCTTCACAGAGCTCTAGGATTCTCGATGTTGACGAGTTAGTGCGCTCGTTCTTACCTTTGACCTTCTTCCTCCGTTCCCTCTTCCCTCTCCTCCGTCTCCTTCCGTTCCCTTTCCCGGCTCCTTTCGAGTTCAATGATGGTGACCATGTCCGGATGAGTGTCCGCTCGATGGCTTCCAACTCCCTCCTATCATTACTAAAGCATAGTGGGATAGCTACATACGCGAGGTCGCCTACCTTCCCCAACCAATTGTACAGGTTCCTTTCTCTCTTCCTATCTCCCTGTCTTGCACAACTCACATGTTCATTCCATCTCGATACTAGGTCCCGTTCGGTCATCCCAACATAGCATTGTTTATACCATGGTGATACGATAACATACACACAACCTTTAGGAAAGCTCAAATCTAATTTCCCACTCTTAGCCGCCTCCCTCCAATACTCCATAAATTTCTCACACCAGGTTATCTTGCCTTCAAGAACCAATGCCAGAAACAGCGCACGCATACGACCCTCTTCTCTCTTACCACGACCTCCATGTAACAGTCGCAGCTCGGCCACTTCTTCAATCTGACTTCATAGATCACGAGGTCCCCCATCTCACTCTGACTCTTTGTCATCCTCTTCTGCTTCGCTGGCCTTCGATGCTCTCGTCATTCTCCTGACCACCGGGGTTGCCGGTAGTGGTACGTTAATCGGGTCATATGCTTTGACAACCCTGCGTAGGACCAGACGCTTGATCGCAGCTTCGCGCTTACCATAGTTAATTCGTTCTGTCTTGCATGCCTCTTTCAATTCTTCCACTGTCAGAGCTTCGTAGAGTTCCCGACAGTCAGCTTCGTACTTCTCCCTTGCACCCGGGCCAGTCCCAGCCGAGATATGTTTGAGGGACAAGGCAATCTTCCCCACCGGCTCGGGTATCGGGGAGGATGATGTTGCCACCTTCCCCGTTTCACGTATTTCCTCAATCCGTAACTTCGCCATCGTTCCCAGTCCTGTCCGCTGTCCTTTGGTAGGCGTGATCATTGGTGGACTATCACCAATCACTACCTCCTTCTCCCGCTTCCTCTTGTCGCTAATTACCAATCCTGCTGCTCGTCTTCGTAGCAGAATGAGTTCTTCGTCCTCAACAGCTTCTTCCTCTTGATGAAGGGCGATCGTTTGTCTTAACCTTTCCTTCTCTTCTTCCAACGTCTCACCCCTCTCGTTTCGTCTCACCAACTTCCTGATTCGTCGTGGAGCGCGTTCATTCTCAATGTCACTTTCAACTCGGATTTCCGAACGGATGATACGTAGTAGCCTTGCATCTCGTTCGTCTTCAGCTCGCTTCCGCTCTGCAATTTCTTCCTGTTTCTTCTTCTCTGCCTTGAGTCGCAACGCTTCTTGTTTTCGCTTCTCTTCTTCCTTTGCCAAATTCTCCTTCTCCTGTTTCCACATCAGAGCCTTCTTCCGAAAATAACTCCTCATCATCGCATTCGTCTCCTCGTCTTCTCTTCTCATCGCATAGTTGTCCGCCGAGTGACTCCGGCGTTCGCTTCCACTGCCAAACACGGTCCGACCCGTTCTTACGTACACTGGTGGTGGAGGAGGTACAAACGGAACCCCCCGATCCTTGGCCTCCCAGTACTCTTTGCAGACACTGGCGAAGTGATCCGGCTCACCACACTCGTAGCAAGTACGCCCAACCATCCTGTTCTCGCTACGACTAGGTGGTCTATGGCTGCCCCGCCCCCGTCCCGATCCACCGGAACCTCCGGAGCTAGTAGGACCGCCTGTACCACCCGTCCCGCTTTCGTTACTCATTGTGTCCGCCACTCACAGACTAGTCTAGACGGCCACTTCTCACTCCAACTCACTTCGTAACTCTCTTCGTAACACATTCGCCGCCACCCCCTCTAGGTCTAATCTCCTAGCAGGTTACGATGCTGGATGCAAGCAGCAAAGAAGACACGCAAGTTCGCACTCATACATCAAATGCAGATACCAAAAGATGCACACATCGAAGCACGTGAGGAACCATAGTAATCACAGCCATAGCTGTAAAAATGTCCACGTAACACAACCGCCAACATACCACGCACCCAANATGCACACATCGAAGCACGTGAGGAACCATAGTAATCACAGCCATAGCTGTAAAAATGTCCACGTAACACAACCGCCAACATACCACGCACCCAAGAACCGCCGAACACTCCTCAGACCAAATGAGTCACGCAAAGTTGACTCACTTTGACGCCCAAAGCCATCAAAAGGGAGTCGTACCGACAAAACGCCAGTATCTATGATGACAGCCCCCAAAAAACTAAAGCAACCGATATCCTCGGTTCGGCCAGACTGTTCCCGCCTTACCAGGTCCAGAGGCCCAACCGGGTCTGCCTAGCCGTGTCCCTTACCTACCGCTAAACCCCACAGTCAACACTTCAACCCCAAACAGGCCTAGTTCAATCTACGAAAAGGAGGAAGAACAGGGATTTTCAATTGCCAAGGTTTTTTTTTTTTTTTTTTTTTTTTTTTTTTTT